CCGAACATTGTACAAATGATGGCAATTTCCTATACAAAGAACTCTATTTATTTAGTATCCGAGCTTGTAAATGGCCGAAACCTAGAGGATCTCTTATTTAGTGCCGATGACGCGTTTTCTTCAAGTATTGACAAGTTTTCTGTTGCAAAGCAACTCTCACAATCAGTGGCATACTTACACCATTTACGGCCACCGATTGTGCACAGAGATATCAAGCCTGCCAATGTACTAGTGGACGACCACACCCATGTCACCAAACTTTGCGATATGGGATTAAGCAAGCTGAAATCTTCTCATTCTGTAAGTATSACCAAAGWAGGCACTGTGACTGGCACGCCAGCATATATGGCACCTGAATGTTTAATACATAACAAAACAGCCACGACTGCCAGTGATGTCTGGTCCTTGGCCTGRACGCTTCTGGAACTTTTTACCGAAAAAGAGTGCTGGGAGATTGAAGAGAACGACTGCACTGATGCGCAGAAGTTCATTACCGACTGTATGAGGAAAGGGGAATCTCCTCCTTCATTGTGCTACCTTCTTGGCGCCGTCGGTGATTCGCAAAGAGGCCTGGAGGTAATAATCTGTCAGTGTTTTAATTACAGAATGGACGAAAGACCAAAGGCCCTTGGCATTGTTGAGGAACTGACAACTTAATTCTGGAAGTTTACATTCAAACAAGAAATATGACATATTAGAACGGGTATATTAGAACTTGAATAGGTATTTCCGATTTCCTATTTAAATTTGTTACGTTTTTATCCTGCCGTTGTTTATTGCTCGATTTTTTAAAGTTTCAGCTTTCACTAGTTAAGGTTAAGCTAAGCTAAGGTTGTCCTTACCCTGCGAGGCAGTATCACTTAGTGCCGTATTGACTGGCTAATGAACTGTCTTTTGATTATAAAAGATTATTATAATGAACCTTTTAAAATACAAATAAGTAGAAGCTTGTAACTAACGTTTATTGGCCAAAAAAGATCGTTGATTAGAATTCATTAGTTACCTTTTATTATTGCTTTTGACTTTTTTCACAATCGTAAACTTCCAACTACTAGTAATCATTTGTCTCACAATAATCCATATTTGATAGGAAATTTCTCGAGCGGTTGATTAAGGAAAAGAAATTCTCATCCGGGGCGAAATTCAGCTGTTGGAAGATAACTTAATAGCAGATTCATGCTGTCGTGAATCGACACTGAGACGCTCTTTGAGTGTGTTTTTTTAATACTACTCTTTCGTCAACGTGAATTTGTGAAAAGGAAAATAGGCTCTTCTCGTAGAATAGTGTGTTAATCTTAGGTAACTCCTCTTATGCCTTTGACTATATTCTTGTTAAAGCTCGAAATCTATTAGACCTATATTTCATCCACTACCTGTTGTTTTGCTAAACTATTTGTCTCACTTAAATTGGTATGTGACGTCATAGACGGACTTAAAAATAAGATGAAAGTTCACGGAAATGGCCTTAAATATTGACTGCAGTCAGTGTTATGTATTTAGAGTTATATCATTTGCCATAGACTAGCACTGACAAACGTTACATTTAGTTACTTATCAGATTTTTGGAAGTTCAAAGCTATACTTTACTGCCAATCGGTTATATAAGACTGGCATTTTAATCAGCCTGATAGTTGTGTTTTAGTCCGACTTATTAAAGAGGCAAATAATTTTTGGAGTAGATGTACAAGTAGGTACAAAATGTAACATGGCTTATGTAATCTATTTTGTCATCTTTTCAATAAATACATGAGAAAAATGTGCGTGATGATATGTAATATGAGGGC